TGCTAACCGCTGCGCCACCACTCCTCGTGCTTATGTACATCGAATTTCTTTCGCACCGTACGTAGCCAACCGTGCTTCATCAGAGGTGTGGGGGAAGGGAAACAAACTAAACACAAAAAGCAGCTCTAATTAGAGCTCCAGTGGCTTCCTATATACAGTAAACACATTATAGAGTTTTACTTTAATGCCAACTCTAATCCACGTGCTCTTTGCAACGTATCACCGAGAGACCAAGACACTATCAAGTCTGTACCATCAAAAGCGAGCAGTGCACCTACTTGTGTCACACACCAGTCTCAAAAGGTGGTGTGTGACAGAACGAGTGCCTTTTTCAGGCACTTTGGTAGGACCCTTCATCAACAACAGAGGCAAGCGTTTTGTTGGCCGGACCCGTGGGCTTTACCATCGCGTGGAAATTTATGGCAGCCAAATGGTCTAAACGCGTGACGCCGATTCAAAAATGTGGAGAGAAAAACCGGAGGACCCGGAGAAAAATCCACGCGACCACAGAGTGAGAGATAGAGAGACACGCAAATTCCAAATATACAGCAGGTTGGGATCGAACCCACGACGTTCCTGAATGCCAGGCGATGTAGGTATCATCTCGCCACCGTGACACCCCCTCAATTGACACGGTTGAACCCGAATTAAGTGAAAAGCTAAAATTATATTTTCATGGTGGGGGGGGGGGGGGTTGCAGAGGGGAGGTTTTTTTGGTGTGCAGATATTGGTGGTGACCAACTGAGACCATTAACTGGCTTGCCGTTCGAGAACCCAGTTTTACTTGTGGAAAAAAAAACTCGCATTGCTAAAGAACGGTTTATTCCAGTCTATGTGGCCGACTGGATCCGAACCTCGATTTCTCGGCAGTGCTGGTTCAGTGCTTTCTGTATGTGTGTGTGTATGCGCGTGACATTTCCTGGTTAGTCGAGTGAAGCATATAGCCGCACGTGTTTCCACTAATATTCTACTCGCAACAATGGAACATTAAGGTCACAACCCCCCAAACTATGGACCCTGCAGTAAACTCAAAAGACACAGAGATATATACGGAGACTCGCAGAGATACACAGAGACCCATAGTGACGCCAGATACAGAGACACCCATCGAGATACACAGACACTCATCGCGATGCATTGAAGACAAGCCACAGCAGTGGCCATGCTAGCCCAAATTATAGACCACATGGTGAACCGCGTGGCGAAATGTTAACTCCCTTGCTCGGTATACAGGAGGTCGTAGGGTCTGGATCGAATCCCTGACCCGGAAGCCTGCTTTGCATTTTGTAGTTTATTTTTACCCAGCGCAATAAACATGTTTTCAATGGTCCCTTGTCAATCGTCGCACAAGCCGCGCGAGCTTGCCGTTGAATCAACGATTAAACACTGGAGATTTCCTGGGCAGTTTAAAAATATGTGTTTTTGCTCTGCGGGACACGTAACCCTGACCGAGGAACAGACAGAGGAGCACGTGGATTTAGAGGTACGTGCGAGCGACGTTAGAACGTACGCAAACTCTGCGGGTGGCCAGGACTCGTCGCGAGTGGGCAGGTGGGAGCGGGTAATGGTCGAGATTAACGACGGAGTGGAGGTCAAAAGGCGCCATAGTGGCGAGATATTAACTACCTCGCCTGGTACACAGGAGGTCGTGGGTTCTGTCCCACCCTGACACTTGCCGTATATTTGGAGTTTGCGTGTCGCTCTCTCATCATCACGGTGGCTGGGAGATGTTAACTACCTCGCCTGGTATACAGGAGGTCGTCGTGGGTTCGATCCCAAACCCGACGCCTGTTGTATATTGGGAATTTGCATGTCTCTCTCTTTTCCCGTGGTGGTCGCGTGGATTTTTCTCCGGGTCCTCCGGTTTTCTCTCCACAATTAGAAGCAACGTGCATCCAACACATTTGCCTGCTATACATTTACACATGATGATGATAAGCCGCTTCGTTGAGCTATCATTTGCGGCCAGGTCGCTTGTAAAAAAGAGCTACACTGTATAGCTCAGCGGGCCTTACCTGGTAAAATAAAAACATAGTTTAGTTTCGTTTATAATCAGTGTGGATTGTACATTGCACCACAAGTGCAACAACAAAAATATTCCATCCGTGAAACAAACTGTAACCTCGAAAACGAAACAACGAATCAAGTCGTGAAAAGAGGAACTGCCGCTTCCCAATTACAAAAATTAACAAGCGTGCACGCAAGTGCTTATCCCTCGCCGCTAAGAGATTTAAGTTCACACCCGCCTTCTCCGTGCAGTGTATGCTGCGAAAGTAAAAATAAAGGCGCAGCGCTGCAAGTGCTCACTCACGCCCACCGATGGCGGAGGAGTCCTCTGCGAGAGCGAGCTCTGGAGATCGCCCCCTCTAGAGTAGAGGGCATCTGTCCGATTCTTCCACGCTGGCCGGACGTCTTGGAAGACTGTGGAGTGCCCACACTCTACCTCACCGCACGCGCTCTGCCCAATCGGCCCGACTGCTGTGGGGAACCCATTCACGCCCTCCAGGGTGCACAGGACTTGGCGGGTTGGTGGAGGATTTGAGAAACTTTTACCGCCGCCGTTTCAACTGCCGCGCACCGGGGAGATCGAATGTGAACGGGGCGAGAGACCCTGCGCATTGCCAGTGCTCGCCGGCATTGCTCGCCGTTCCGCCCGCCGCGGCGGAAGCACCAACGGTGCCCCGGACTGCAGAAGGCAATCTGCCAATTTCATTGAACAAAGAGAGAGAGAACAAAAACGCCAAAGTGCTGCGTACGTCAATGTGGCAGATGCACGCTGCCTCCGCTGTGCTGGCGGAACATTAGCAATGGTCAGTCCCAACACCTCGGTCGGCAGTCCGCCTTGCTGCGCAGAACGCCGCGGGGTCAGCCGCTTCCCAGTTAAAACTGGGATAAACGAGATAGCCTATGGGTCTCTACGCAAGCCGCACTGGTGACCAGACCAAGCCCGGTCAACTCGCTACACTTGAGAACCTTGCGCCTGGAGGTGCCGGATTCGATCCCAGGACCTCAGCTGTTGCGCCACCCTCTGCGGTCCGACCTCCCGGTACAATTTGAAAGGGGACATCTCTATCCGTCATGAACCAGAGAGGCAAAGTTTCGCCGACACGGTCATTATGATTCCAGGAGCAGTGTGCGGCCGACGCGCCCATCACGATCTCCCTGAGAGTGTACTCCACAATCTCAAAAAACCTGAATGGAGGACCTCAGGCGGTGTCGCTGGGGATCTGACACCGAGCCATCGCGAATCTCATGAGGGGCCTGCAAAAGTCACTCGGCCTTCACAGCTTGCAACCCCACCCCCCCCCCCCCCCCCGGGACTTCAATGTCTCCGACCTGGCCATCGCGAGCCTCCGATGACGCCGCAAAGAGACGGAGACGCATTCACCAGGAACACAAAATCTCTGCGTCTCCGACAAGGCATATTAAGAACCTCCTAAGGAGGCATTTCACTGACGGTCACCACAGCCACTGAGCATGAACCCATGACTCCGATCTTTGTTGTCCTTCCGCCGCAGGAAGTTCTACACACACGAATACGTACAATGTCTTCGACACATTATGAACCTCCTGTAACAGAGCCAGAGAGACAATCACTTCGGTTCCCAATGAGCTCGAGTCGAGAAATCGCGAAATCACAATCTCCACAGAAATATCCACAAAAACCTCCACAGGACTCCATCCACAGAAATATCCACAGAACTCCACAGAAATATCTACAGGATATCACATAAATCTTCACAGAAATCTCCACAGAACTCCACAGAAATCTCCACAGGAACTCCACAGAAATCTCCGCAGAAATATTCTCAGAAATCTCCACATGACTCCACAAAAATCTCCACAGAACTCCACAAAAACCTCCACAGAACTCCACAGAAACCTACAAAAACCTCCACAGAAATCTCCACAGAACTCCACAGAAACCCACAAAAATCTCCACAGAACTCCACAAAACTCCACAAAAACCTCCACAAAACTCCACAAAACCTCTACAGAACTCCACAAAAACCTCCACAGAACTCAACAGAAATCCACAAAAATCTCCACAGGACTCCACAGAAATCTCCACAGAAATCTCCACATGACACCACAGAAATCTCCACAGAAATCTCCACAGAACTCCACAAAATCCTCCACAGAACTCAACAGAAATCCACAAAATCTCCACAGGACTCCACAGGACCCCACAGAAATCTCCACAGAACTCCACAGAAATCTCCACAGAAATCTCCACATGACACCACAGAAATCTCCACAGAAATCTCCACAGAACTCCACAAAATCCTCCACAGAACTCAACAGAAATCCACAAAATCTCCACAGGACTCCACAGGACCTCACAAAAATCTCCACAGAACTCCACAGAAACCCACAAAAACTCCACAGAACTCCACAAAAATATCCACAAAACTCCACAAAAACCTCCACAGAATTCCACAGAAACCCACAAAAACCTCCACAGAACTCCACAAAAACCTCCACAGAACTCCACAAAAATCTCCACAGGACTCCACAGGACCCCACAGAAATCTCCACAGAAATCTTCACAAAAACCTCCACAGAACTCCACAGAACTCAACAGAAATCCACAAAATCTCCACAGGACTCCACAGGACCTCACAAAAATCTCCACAGAACTCCACAGAAACCCACAAAAACTCCACAGAACTCCACAAAAATATCCACAGAACTCCACAAAAACCTCCACAGAATTCCACAGAAACCCACAAAAACCTCCACAAAAACCTCCACAGAACTCCACAAAAATCTCCACAGGACTCCACAGGACCCCACAGAAATCTCCACAGAAATCTTCACAAAAACCTCCACAGAACTCCACAGAAGCCCACAAAAACCTCCACAAAAACCTCCACAGAAATCTCCACATTACTCCACAAAAACCCACAAAAACCTCCACAGAAACCCACAAAAATCTCCACAGAAACCCACAAAAACCTTCACAAAAACTCCACAGAAATCGCCGCCGCCGCCGTCACCTTTGACGTCTGCGCCGAGCGCTTTCCAGACGGGCGCGAAGTGGATGCAGTGACCGCACCACGAGGCGTAGAACTCCACCACCCAGGCTGCGGACGAGTTGCGGAGTGCGGGTGACACTTCCCCGGGGCCCAGCACGGCCACGAGGTCGTTGCGGTCGTACAGGCCGCCAGAGACCGGCAGCGGCACAAGCAGCAGCGGCAGCAGCAGCAGCAAGGCCAACAGCGGCGCCATGCTTGCGTACAGGGGGAGGGGGTGTCTGCTGTGTGGAAGCGGCAGCAGAAGTGGAGGCAACAGCTGAGGCGACAACAGCAGCGGCAGCAGCAACAACAGCAGCAGCAGAGGCAACAACAACAACAGCTGAGGTGACAACAACAGCAGAGGCAACAACAACAGCTGAGGCAATAACAGCTGAGGCGACAGCAGCAGCAGAAGCAACAACAGCAGCAGCAGAGAGGCAACAACAACAGCAACAACAACAGCAGCAGTGGCAACAACAACAGCAACAACAGCAGCAGCAGAAGCAACAACAGCAGCAGCAGAAGCAACAACAACAACAGCAACAACAGCAACAACAGCAGCAACAACAGCAGCAGCAGCGGCACCGGCCGCCGCCTTCCTCCTCCTGCCGCCTTCACGGCTGAGGCGACTCGTTGTGATGGGAATCGATTCCGCGCGCGCTATTTATAGACTGTAGAGGGGTGGAATCGATTCCTCGCCCGCGATTCATAGTGCGCGTGGCGGGGGGGGGGTCACGGAATCGATTCCGCGCCCACGATTTAAAGTGCTGTGCGTGGGAGAGGGCGTCTTTGAATCGAGACCCCATAATCGATTCACCAACCGGAGTTAGAGGAATCGATTCCTGTGTTGTGATACAGGGGAGATGGAGGGGCATACAAGTACGTGGAATCGTGAGAATCGATCGATTTCGATTCATGTTAATTTATGCAAATGAGCGCGAGTGACGTGCAGCGAATCAGAATCTTTATTTCGACTCGAGGATGAGGAAATCCGAAGAGCGGAAAAGCTCTTTTTGTTAACAGACGTCCCTACAACAGCTGAGAAGAAGGTAGAACGTTAAGGGACCGTCCATAAATGACGTCACGCACCTGGGGGGGGGGGGGGGGTCAGACATTTGTGACGATGTGTGACGGGGGGGGGGGTGAGAATTGTGACGTCCCATCAAAATGCACAACTTTAAATAAATATAGACAACACGTTCTGCTTAATTTTTTATTTAAAGCTTTCGTTACTGCAGGGATTCATATTCTTGGTTCTTTCGGTAACGTAACGTAGAAGGGAAATACTATTGTTTTATATTTTTATTATTTTATAATTTCCCTTCTATGTGACTTTACCGAAAGAACCAATCATACGTGAAACTTAAATTTCGATTTAAAGCTTTCGTTACTGCAGGGATTCATTTTCTTGGTTCTTTCGGTAAAGTCACGTAGAAGGGAAATAATAAAAAGAAAACATAATAAAATAATTCTCACGACGTTTCGGCCACAACGCAAGCAGCCGTCCTCAGGTGAATAACAGGTCTGTCGGAAAGACAGCGTGTGAATGACGAGGTATTTAACATCTCCTAGCCACCGTGATGATGAGAGAAAGAGAGACACGCAAACTCCAAATATACAGCAGGCGTCGGGTTCTGGATCGAACCCACGACCTCCTGCACACCAGGCGAGGTAGTTAATATCTCCTAGCCACCGTGATGATGATGAGAGAGACACGCAAACTCCAAATATACAGCAGGCGTCAGGGTCGGGATCGAACCCACGACCTCCTGTATACCAGGCGAGGTAGTTAACATCTCCTAGCCACCGTGATGATGATGAGGGAGAGAGACACGCAAACTACAAATATACAGCAGCAGGCGTCAGGGTCGGGATCGAACCCACGACCTCCTGTATACCTGGCGAGGTAGTTAACATCTCCTAGCCACCGTGATGATGATGAGAGAGAGAGACACGCAAACTCCAAACATACAGCAGGCGTCAGGGTCGGGATCGAACCCACGACCTCCTGTATACCAGGCGAGGTCGTTAACATCTCTCCAACCGTGGCTTCAAAGGCGTCCTCTCGGATGCGTCCTGTCCATTTCACTGCCGCTCCCTGGTTAATCTCGAACATCAGTCATCACCCCTCCCCCCAACCACCGTCACTTTTAACACGGAATTAAATGTAATGCCGTGCTTGACGTCTGCGAAAAGAGCTTCACAGCTCATTGGATTCCTCCAGTCTAAATACAGATTCTGAACAACTGAGCGATCATTCCCACCACCCGCCATCCCATGCCTAAGAGATTATCACCAACTCTTAATATTGTCAGAGCTCTGAAGATTAACCGGATCGGAGCCCTTGGGACAATGTCCTCGCGTTTGCGACCACAACAACAATAAGTATAACCCGTAAAAACAAAGTTTTTCACTATAAATCCTTTATATGCGTGGCGGCTAGAGTCCTCTCGTCCTCTGGCTTGAGATGGCTGCCACCTATGGGTCAGATGATTGCATTGCACCATTAAACAATTGGTAATTAAATATAATATTTTTGTCCTAAAAAATGTAACATTTTTGATTTTTTTTTCACGAACATTAATTGTCACGCACATCGAGTCTGTGTGGAAAATGTCAGCTCGATTGGATCACGGGAAGTGGGTTAAAAAACGACCGAAAGATTTGCACGGTCCTAAGCAAGCAAGCGAACTTAATATAAAGGATTTAAAAAAGTGCGGCTCTGCGGGGAGCCGAGAGGCAACGGCGTGGACAAGCGAATGGCGATTTCAGCAACATCTCAAAACCGGTCCCTTCGCTGTCAAACCCCTCTCCGACTTTCAACCAAACCCACACGCTCACCAGTGCCTGGTATCCGGGCAGTCGTGTTCGACAAAAGGGGTTTGCGCTGCACATTTGGGCTGCCACGCTCGGGCAAAGGTGCTTCAATGGGAGTATTGCCGTCTGGCCGCTGCAGATGTCATCATCCATCCATCCAGCAGCCTGTGTCCCCAACCCCCGATTCGTCACACGGCTAATCAGTCGCACGCGCGCACGCAATGGGCTCTGTTATGAGTCACGCATCCCGTGCGTTAGGGTACACAACATCGCTCACGTTCAATGATTATATGATTAATTGAAGTCTTTATCTACGACGGTGGTTCGTAAACTTGACTGCAGCCAGCACCACGCCTTTGGTTTCTCAATCGTTTACGATTTTTTGTGATATAATGTTAATAAATACGTTGGTTTTGATGAAACAATGCATATATTATCATAGTGTGTTTTTTGTTTGCATTTTGACTGCAAGTATTGTGGTTTCAGTTTTGTTGCCTGAAAAAAGTGGAAAAACCCCTATTATAATGATTATATTGTGGTTCTGGCAAAGGAGTTCTAATGATGTAGATGCTCACCCCAAGCCCTCATTACCTTGATAGTGCATTGTCTTTGAGCTGTGTACGCCTTTTGGCGTCCTCTGGTCGAGCACCAATTGGATCGAGGCTCAAAAGAAAGCCGTCCCTTGGTGTGGACCAATCAGTTTCAAGGACAAAGCATATATTATCATAGTGTGTTTTTGTTTGCATTTTTTACTGCAAGTATTGTTGTTAATGCAGACATGAATCCTTGTAAAAGGTTTCAGTTTTGTTGCCAGACAAAAGGGGAAAACCCTTATTATTAAAGTAAGTTGTACTTACTTGCCCGTGCTTAATTTGTGTTTTCGGTGATTTATCTTCTAAACAAAATGTGACCGTGTCTCGCACCCCCCCAGAAAGGGCATCTCGCACTCCCAGGGGGTGCAGCGTGCCACCCCAGGTGAAGAAGAATCGCTGATCTAGGAACTCCTTGTTCAGTCGTTTTCAGTTAGGCTCCTGCCGCTGCTGCATTGGGATTTTTTTTTCATTGTTTTAATATTATTTCAGCCAAACACGTTCCTTCGGAGTGGGCAGGTAGGAACTTGGTTGGACAGCGCGGCGTTCGGGGGGGGGGCAGTTGGATGAGTGGGCGTGTTTACCTTCCCCCCACCCTCCCCGATATCCTCAACCCTCTTAACTATCGGCCCTCCCCCTTGCATAGGCACCTCCCCTTACCCCCCTCACTCAGGCCCCTCCGCTGACCCCCCTTCCCTTAAGCCCCTCCCCTGACCACCACCCCCATATCCTTAGGCCCCTCCCCTGACCCCCCTTCCCTTAGGCCCCTCCCCTCTCCGTACCCGGCAGTAGGTCTCCACCAATCAAAGAGCTGCTTGTATTATATATTTATTTATGCACGACAGACAGACAAAAAATCCCTGGTGGGCAGTGTGGAACATTGTTCCTACCTGTATTAATAATGATGATAAGTTGTGTTGTTTATTAATATTAATATTCACGTGGGAGAAGGAAGCCTGAGGCACCTGGAGAAAACCCACGCCTTGCTCAAGGTGGTAACTTTGTCCCCGTGCAGACGGAGCTGAACTTAACACGTAGGCTTTCGCGACCAATATCATCCATAACAACAGGTTTTTTGGGTTAGATTTTGAGCTAGATATTTAAATATTTACGCGATCTAACCCCCAAAAAAACTGTATTATGGATGCTGAACTTCTTTCGCATCCTGCCTAGCCCACCGTGATAATCGGGGGTGCGGGTGTGCGTATAATCGTGCGTCGCGCAACACCGATTAAAAAGCGCTGTAAATTGTCATTGGATTTACAAACGTCAGCATTTTAAAAAAAAAATCACGTTCACAGCGTTAAGTCGGTCGTGACTCCCTGGGTGACCGAGACCGCGTGTCCGGACCTGAGTTGTGGTTGAAAACAATGAATCCGCCCACCCACGCCCACAGGGCCGTGCCATCTGTGGTTATAATTTTGACACGTGACGCACACACAAAAGGGCATTGTTCAGCAGTGAGCCCCCGCCACCTGGCAGCGGACCCACGAGCCCAACATTTGTTGCTGGAGTAAAAAAAAAATGTTTCGCGAAATCACCGACGGAAAATATTGGAACAAACCGACGAAGCGTCGGTTTTTGTTATTTCAGCGAAAGCTGACGATTGTGTGTGCGTGCCTGTGCGTGTGTTTGGCTTCGGTGGGGAGCGGTGGTGTAGTGGTTAGCGCGCTGCGCTACAAACCCGGCGACCCGAGTTCGATTCCCGCTCACGGCCAACGCCGGTAACGATTATTTAAACTGGTCCTGGGCCTATCCCTAGGTCGACTCAGACTAAAATGAGTACGTGGTCCGGTGCGTACTAGTGAAACTGGCACGAATTAACAAAAATAAACATCCTAACTTTTAAAAATTACTTTACTGCACCGTACTTACCACTCCAATCTCGAAGACACTCTGCATGGGGCGATGTATACACGTGCAGCATTTTCATTGTTTGAGTTGTGTGTAGTGTATATCATGTACTGCGGATAATATTTATCACTGACATCAAAGCGTATCCACTTTTTGTTTCGTCGGATCGGCCCGGGACCTCCGAATAATTTTGAAAACAGCCGGATAATCGATGACCAACTGTATGGCCTTTAAAATATATAACAGGCAACGTTTCTGGCAATTGCCCTTTCTTTCACAGCACATAAGAGTGAGAGGCCAGCCAACTATTGGGCAAGTTACAGGGAGTTTGAGACAACGGTCGATCACGGTGGCAGCGG